TCAGTTTATTTATTTCAGGTACATATATAGTGCAATCAGTTTATGCAGCACTTTACATATATTGTACTTTCACATCAGTCCCTAACCCTCAAGGGGCATACAATCTAAGGTCCCTAACCCTCAAGGGGCGTACAATCTAAGGTCCCTAACTTCCATTCATAAATACACATACTAGGGCCAATTTAGACAGGATCCAAATTACCAACCAGCATGCCTTTGGAGCATGGGAGGAAACCAGAGTTTTCAGAGGAAACCCACGCACGCACAGGGAGAACATACAAACTCCAGGCAGGTGGTGCCATGGTTGGGATTTGAACCAATGACCCTAGTACTGCCAGGTGGAAGTGCTAACCATTTAGTCACTGTGAATGCACATAACCCACCAGTAACCCCATATGTAGCCAAATTGGTGAGTTACATGCAGGGGCAAACTGACCATTTGGAAACTCGAGCACTGCCCGAGAGCCTGGGGTCAGTGGGGGGCCCCATGAGATTCCCCGCTACCTTTTTCATAGGCTTTTTTGAGTTTGGGCAAGGACACAGGGGCCCCATGATCCCCTATTGCCCGGGGGCCCCATGAGTTGTCAGTCCGCCCCTGGTCCCCATAGCAAGTGGCTTACTATAGTGGCACTCAGCAAGGAGGGAGGAACTACAGGGTACACATACTAGGGCCAATTTAGACAGGGTCTGATTTACTAACCAGCATGTCTTTGGAGTGTAGGAGGAAACTGGCATACCTGGAGGAAACCCACACAAGAACAGGGAAAAAATGCAAACTCCAGGCAGGTGGTGCTGTGGTTGGGATTTGAACCAATGACTCTTGTATTGCCAGGTGGAAGTGCTAACCAGTCAGCTAGAGGTGGAGTCCATGCTTTGCTAATGCCTGGCCAAGCAAGTACAGTTTTCCTCTAATGAATTCTTCCAGAGATGCCTTTACTCACTGATTGGCCCAGCACCGTCACATGCTCTTCCATACCTGAAAGTACTGAGTATTTCTTAGCTCCTGATAATGAATGGAACAGCAGGGAAGTAAAAGAAAGGAAACTACAGGCGTACCTCGGTTTACAAACTCCTCGATTAATGTAATTTTTCGATTTACGAATGAAAATCCAGAAATAAAAATAATGATTTGGTTTACAAAATTTTTTTTGCAATACAAGGTAAATTTCCCTAAGATGCATTGCACCTGGGAGGTGTATAGCGCTGCCCCCGTGCATGATTGAGTCTGAATGGTTTTTACATCAAGTTATTGCTTGATTGATCATGTCCCTGTACAGTATTGATGCCTTTACATATTTCCATGCAAAAAAATGTACCGCTTTGAGCACAGAAATATGGACATAATCAGACCGCTAGGGAGGTTAAATTTGCCTAGCAACAAGAAACATTTTTTTAAAAGCCCAGGTGCAAAAAAAAAAAAAAAAAACGCAAAACCGAATGCAGAAACGGGTCAAACACAAACTGCTTGGGCTGAACCTTCAGCAGATCCTTACATTTTGTTCCTGTGATGAAATAGTTGTTTACTTCACCGTATGCTTTGCAGACTGATTCTGAATGGAAGAGTCTGCTTCACTATAATCACCTGATGCCAGGGGCGGACTGACAACTCATGGGGCCCCCGGGCAATAGGGGATCATGGGGCCCCTGTGTCCTTGCCCAAGCTCAAAAAAGCCTATGAAAAAAAGTACCAGGGGCATCTCATGGGGCCCCCTACTGACCCCGGGCCCTCGGGCAGTGCCTGAGTTTCCAAATGGTCAGTCTGCCCGTGTATAAAACTAAATACCAAATAATATGAAGTGCTACAATGCACCTCCCTCTGCAGTCCGTGTACGCTCATTAATCTCTAATAGAATGATTAAATGTATTTATAGTTACACTGGAATAGAATGTGGGGGGGGGGGGGACATATTATCTTAAAGGGGAAAACTAGAATTTATAAGTGTGCCGCAATCCAAGGTGAAAACTCAAATCCTCTACTCCTCAAATGTCCTCATGTAGGGGGCCTCATGAGATGTCCCTGGTACCTTTCATAGGCTTTTTTGGGTGTGGTTTGAGTGTGGGCGAGGACACAGGGGCCCCATGATCCCCTATTGCCTGGGGGCCCATGAGTTGTCAGTCCGCCCCTGGCTGTAACGCAGAATATAGCCTGGTCAGGAAGGGGGGGGGGGGGTAATTCCTCTGGAGGGCAAGTGGTTAACATTATAGTTGACAAAAGAATTAATGTCCAGTATTTTGCTACATTGTGTTCAATAAGAACGCTCATGGTCTGAAAAATGGGCCATTTGTCTTCCCACTTTGCCCATACATCTTTTCAAGGAGCTCTGACGAAACAAACCAGCTTTTTTAATTGGTTATGTGACCCTCACCTAATTTTTCCTCGAACTTATAACATAATAATAACTCAGCTCCACGTTGATATAAACCTCGTAATTTCATTGCATCCTGGGAATTTTTACTTTTGACGTCCGCGTTGTGTCCGGTGTGTCCGCTCAGCATTTCAAAATGAAATAATCAGCATTTTACTCTCATTAAGACTTCACTTTTCTGCCCTAATTGGGGCCACTTGCCATTCTGCATGACTGTCAATTAAAAACACTGATATTGCCAAATGAATTGCCATCGCATAGCTCCCGTCGGGAGCAATTTCAGCCTTTCGCCTCGCAGTGCCAACCGCGTGCTTTGCCTTTATTACAGTGGACAAAATGATGGCCAGACCGGGAAATGTCTTTGCTTTAAAGGAGTCGCTGATAGACCGAAAATAAATTGTCTTTATCTGAAAGAGTAGTGATGAGCAGATTGGATGATCTGCTCATCTATTATCCCTGGCAGGACATACAAGACACTAATCAGGGGGTTTATCAAAAAATGAGGAAGCGTCAACAGGCTATGGCAAATTCACTTGTCTGCTTTGTCACCCACCATCAAAGAGCTGCTGATATCATTTACAAATATCAGACTACAAAAATAAATCCCAAGTGTTTCCACCAATCGCATGCCAACATCCCTAAGAAAATTTAACCCACTTGCTTCCCAAGCCAATTGTGACACTTATGATATAAATGTATATATCTACATTTTTCTCTTGAAAACTACTTAGAACCCCCAAATATTACATACAGTCATGGCCAACAATATTGGCTCCCTAGCATTTCTGTCAGATAATGCATCACTTCGCCCCCAGAAAATTGTGCAAATGCAAATGTTTTGTCATTCTCATGTTTATTTCTATTGTTTGTATTGGTATGACACAAAAAAAGTGGAGAAAAACGAAACACCAAATCTGACACCTTCAATGAAAAACCTCAAAAATGGACTGGACAAAATTATTGGCATCTTCTCAAAATTGTAAGAAATAGTTGCATTCCAAGTTTGTGATGGTCCTGTAAGTTGACATACAACTCAATTGCATCAATTAAGAGATCTTAATATTCCTGTGTCCACTGGGTGCAACATTGTGAAGAAGAAGATTGCAAGGAAGGATTGTTGGAATGGTGGATAAAGAACCTTGATCAACTTTCAGACCAATCCAAGCTGATCTTCAGGCACAAGGTACAGCTTGGACTATACGTCATCATCTGAATGAAAAGGGACGCTATGGTAGAAGACCCCACTGCTGACACAGAAACATACAAAAGCCAGATTGGAGTTTGCCAAAACTTACCTGAGGAAGTCAAAATCCTTTTGTGAGAATGTGCTGTGGACAGACGAAACAAAATTACAGCTTTTTGCTTTAGCCCATCATTCTACTGTTTTCAGAAAAAACAATGAGGCCTTTAGAGAAGAAAATACGGTCCCTCCAGTCACACATGGTTGGGGGGTCACTGATGTTTTGGGGTTGCTTTGCTGCTTCAGGAACTGGATGTCTTGACCATGTGCATGGCATTATGAAATCTGAAGACTACCAAAGAATTCTGGGGTGCAATGTAGGGCCCAGTGCCAGAAAGTTGGGTCTCCGTAAGAGGTCATGGGTCTTACAGCAGGACAATGACTCAAAGCACATGTCAAAAAGCACCCAAAAATTGTTAAAGTGCTGGAGAGGACTGAACTGGCCAGCAATGAGTCCAGATCTCAATCCCATAGAGCTCCTGTGGAGAGATCTCAGACCAGCAGTTGGGGAAAGGAACCCTTCCAATCTGAGAGACCTGGAGCAGTTGGTGGAAGAAGAGCGCTCCAAAATTCCAGCAGAGAGGTGGAGGAAACTCATTGATGGTTACAGGAAGCCATTGATTTCAGTTATCTTTGTCCAAGGGGTGTGCTACCAAATATTAAATTGAGGGTGAAACTCAATAACACATTTTAAAACAATACTAACAATTCTGCTTGGGGTGGAAGTGTTAAAAGGGAACCAACAAAGAACTATAATGAAAACTTTTTAAAAAAAATTTGGATGGAGTAAGGGAGGGTTATAACCTCTGTCAGAGTTTTTTTTTGGTGTAACATTGGGGAGATTTCCCCTTCTCTTCCTGTCCATACCCAAAACAGGAAGTGAAAGAAAACCCTTGAAAATTAAGGGAATCCCTTGGGGCCCCACAAAGTTACCAGAACTAAAGTCCTTTTTGGACGATTTCCCCTCTATTACTTTTCTGGTGACAAGCCGAAATGTGGGATTTTCTTTTACATTTGTAGCGCTCTCTCTGCAGTAGCCGATCCTGATAATGGGTCCTCTTCTCTGCCACGACTCTCATAAATGCTTGTTGCCCACAGACACACTCGGTCTTCGACTCAGAGCCGTTTACACTTGTGGAATTAAGGGTTAGTAGGCTACAACTCTAAGAATGCACAGGAATAAGGCTACAAACAGTTTGGAGATAAGTAACTAAATGCATTATGACAAAGAAAACAAACAAAAAGAGTAAATCAATAAACATGTCATTGCAAAGACTTAAGGGTGGTCTGAAGGGCGAAGGTTAATTACTCATTAGCTGGCACTGGAAGGTAATAGCAAGACTAAAATACCGTATTTTTCGCTCCATAAGACACACCTAGGTTTTAGAGGCGAAAAATATTCTGAACCAAGAGACTGCGGACACAGTACAGGAGATGACCAGAGACTGCGGACACAGTACAGGAGATGACCAGAGACTGCGGACACAGTACAGGAGAGATGACCAGAGACTGCGGACACAGTACAGGAGATGACCAGAGACTGTGGACACAGTACAGGAGATGACCAGAGACTGCGGACACAGTACAGGAGATGACCAGAGACTGCGGACACAGTACAGGAGATGACCAGAGACTGCGGACATAGCACAGGAGATGACCAGAGACTGCGGACATAGTACAGGAGATGACCAGAGACTGCGGACATAGTACAGAATGACCAGAGACTGACCAGAGACTGCGGACATACTACAGGAGATGACCAGAGACTGCGGACACAGTACAGGAAATGACCAGAGACTGCGGACATAGTACAGGAGATGACCAGAGACTGCAGACACAGTACAGGAGATGACCAGAGACTGCGGACAGTACAGGAGATGACCAGAGACTGCGGACACAGTACAGGAGATGACCAGAGACTGCGGACACAGTACAGGAGATGACCAGAGACTGCGGACACAGTACAGGAGATGACCAGAGACTGCGGACACAGTACAGGAGATGACCAGAGACTGCGGACACAGTACAGGAGATGACCAGAGACTGCGGACATAGTGCAGGAGATGACCAGAGACTGCGGACACAGTACAGGAGATGGACCAGAGACTGCGGACACAGTACAGGTGATGGACCAGAGACTGCGGACACAGTACAGGAGATGACCAGAGACTGCGGACACAGTACAGGAGATGGACCAGAGACTGCGGGACACAGTACAGGAGATGACCAGAGACTGCGGACACAGTACAGGAGATGACCAGAGACTGCGGACAGAACAGGAGTTGACCAGAGACTGCGGACACAGTACAGGGAAAATACCAGGGACACAGTACAGATGACCAGAGACTGCGGACCTTTGGGGAGGGAGGGGGAACGGATACCTGAATTTGACAGGTACCCGCTCCCACTTTCGTGGAGTTGTCCTTCCCTCTTCTTCCCGCGCCGGCTTCTGTGACAGCTGGGTGCCCACTGCACATGCGCAAGAATGGCCTGGCGCCTTCTGGGACCTGTCATGTGTCCCAGAAGACACCGGACCATTCACAAAGCGCAGCGCATGTGCAGTGGGCACCCGGCTGTCACAGAAGCCGGCGCGGGAAGACTGCAGCGCTGGAGCGAGGAACAGGTAAGGTCCTGCAGGAGAGAACAGCTGAGCGGCCGGCCCGGTATTCTGACATGGTGGCGGCAGAAATACCGGACCGTCCGCTTTATATTCGCTCCATAAGACGCACTGACATTTTCCCCCCTTTTTTGGGGGGAAAAAAAGTGCGTCTTATGGAGCGAAAAATACGGTAACTCCTTCCTATCAGCTGTACACACATATGTGGCCTCTCGGCGTTAAGGCTCACCCACCAAGAGGCCTCATATATGAGTACCCAAAGAAAAAAACAGAACTGCTCTGAAAGCGTGCACCACACACACTCCCAGCACAGTTACTAAAGCTCCAGGTCTGTACTTGCGATTGGGAGCTTTCTAATCATGTGACCACTGTGACAGGCAATCACGAGATCCCATGATCACAAACCCAGCCAAACCAAAGTCTCCGGTAACTAGAGTCTCCAAGCAACCTCAACCAGTTCAGAAGAAGAAAAAAGGGTCCTAGTGTACACCTTGTGCACACACAGCCCCCAAATTGGGAGGGGGTAGGCATTCCTAGTATGGGAAGTGGTAGAGAGTACCTGTTGCCTAGTAATTAATGCTGGCTGGCTTTCAGTGGGGCCCTACCTTAGGTGGCGCACTGTCCCTTTAAGAATGCATTTGGCTGATAGGAGATAGATCATTAATTAGAAGCAGAGGGTGGTGGGCATTTAGGATGTGTAGTTCAGCTTACCACGTCCTGGTATACCATGGTGAACAGGACAAATAGAGAGGGTGAATCTCCCTAATGGGGGAACAGACAGCAATAAAAAACCTAATAGGTGCACTAATGCATCTCCACTCTATCCAAAGCGAAAAAAAAAAACATTTTGTCTTAAGTTATACTTTATGTTCCAATTTAAATAATACGTTTAACAAAATGCATACGTACTAAAAATACAGTTACCCTTTAACATCAGTAAAACACATTTTTAGCATAGAAAAAAAAAAAAGAAAAAAGAGAGTCTTCAGGGGAATAGGAAAAGGAGAGAGAGAACATTTTTTTTAAAAATAAATCTAGGTCTTTAGGTCTCTTTGCGCCTCCAGAAGCCCTTTGCTCGGGATTATTATAAATGACTTGCAAGTCCTTTTGTTGCTGAGATATAGCAGATCTGTCAGTCAGACATCAAGAGGAGTGACAGGTCATCACACACCTATGAAGTCTTCTTTTCTTTTTATTTTACTTATATTTTTTTTTTATACAGAACATGTAAAAATGGAGAAACTGTATGTAAAACTAATGTTTTTATGCTATAGCAGAAGTTTTATGTACACTATATTGCCAAAAGTATTGGGCCCGCCCTCCAAATGATTGGATTCAGGTGTTCCAATCCCCTCCATGGACACAGGTGTATACAATCAAGCCCCTAGGCATGCAGACTGCTTCTACAAACATTGGTGAAAGAATGGGTCGCTCTCAGGAGCTCAGTGACTCCAAGCGTGGTCCCGTGATAGGTGGCCACCTGTGCAATAAGTCCATCCGTGACATTTCCTGGCTACTAAATATTCCACGCTCAAACTGTTAGTGGGATTATAACAAAGTGGAAGCCTCTGGGAACAACAGCAACTCAGCCACCAAGTGGTAGGCCACGTCACATGCACAGTGCGCAGAAGTCGCCAACTGTCTGCAGAGTCAATAGCTAAAGACCTCCAAACTTGGTGTGGCCTTCAGATGAGCCCAACAACAGTGCGTAGAGAGCTTCATGGAATGGGTTTCCATGGCCGAGCAGCTGCATCCAAGCCTTCCATCACCAAGTGCAATGCAAAGCGTCGGATGCCATGGTGTAAAGCATACCGCCACTGGACTCTAAAGCAGTGGAGCCCTGTTCTCCGGAGTGACCAATCACGCTTCTCTGTCTGACAATCCAATGAACGTGTCTGGGTTTGGCGGTTGCCAGGAAAATGGTACTTGACTGAATTAATTGTGCCATGTGTAAAATTTGGTGGAGGGGGGATTATGGTGTGGAGTTTATTTTCAGGGGTTGGGCTTGGCCCCTTAGTTACAGTGAAGGGAACTCTTAAGGCGTCAACATGCCAAGACATTTTGGACAATTTCATGCTCCCAACTTTCTGTAAAGAGTTTGGGGATTGGCCCCTTCCTGTTCAACATGACTGCGCACCAGTGTACAAAGCAAGTCCATAAAGACATGGATGAGCGAGTTTGGGGTGCAGGAAATTGACTGGCCTGCACAGAGTGCTGACCTCAAACCTAGAAGGCCTTTGAGATTAATTAAATTGGAAACTGCGAGCCAGGACTCATCTGACATCAGTGCCTGACCTCACAAATGTGCTTCTGGAAGAATGGTCCAACCTTCCCATAGACACCCTCCTAAACCTGGTGGACGGCCTTCCCAGAAGAGTTGAAGCTGTTATAGCTGCAAAGGGCGGGGCCAACTCAATAATGAACCCTACGGACTAAGATGGGATCAGGGGCGGACTGACAACTCATGGGCCCCCAGGGCAATAGGGGATCATGGGGCCCCTGTGTTCTTGCCCAAACTCAAAAAAAGCCCTATAAAAAGGTACCAGGGGAATCTCATGGGTCCCCCTACTGACCCTGGGCCCTCGGGCAGTGTCTGAGTTTCCAAATGGTCATTCCTCCCCTGACTGGGATGTCATTAAAGTTCATGCGCGTGTAAAGGCTGGCGGCTCAATACTTTTGGTAATGTAGCCAGTGGAGCAGAGTGTGATTACTTTTGACTGTTCTAGGTCCTGCTGTTGCAGGCTCAAGAAGGTTCTAGAATATTCACTTGTAGCCCACAATATACTGCAAACAGCGGCCTGTACAGCCACAGCAGCCCCCCCCCCACCCCGGGACTTCCACTTGATTGTACCCAGTGAGAGTTTGTCAGTAGGTCCTGGCCAATGATTCATGGCCCTGGACCTGTTGATCGGCTGTATCCAATAACAGCCCAGATCCCTGTGTTAATTGTCACTGTGTTGATTGTTCCTTCTGTACAGAGGGAACATGCTCTCTGTTTCTTCTCCCTGCAAAGAAGGGAGAAGAAAAAAGATATTTAGTAAAAAAAACAGCACACATTAACACAAATTAACACATTTTTAGGTCACACATTTTAACCCCTTGATTATCCAAGATGTTAATCTCTCTTCCCAGTCAGTGTCATTAATACAGGGACAGTTTATACTATTAGCACTGAGCACTGTATAAGTGTCATTGGCAATGTCAGTGACAATTAGTCAGTTACCACCCAGTGACAGTTAGTTTCAGATTGCCCGTCACACTATCACAGTTCCACTATAAGTCGCTGATCACTGCCATTATTAGTATTAAGAAAACATTCCAGTATATATCCCATATTTGTAGACTCTATAATCAAAGACATATAGAAGAATACATTTCGGCCTAAAAGTATGAATACATTTTTTATAATTGGATAACCATATTTAAGAGCATCTCTAAAGTAAAAAATATAGAATTTAAAAAAAAATGTTGGTCTCTTTTTGTTTATACAATAAAAAGTAAAAAACCAAGTGGTGTTTATATATCACCAAACAGAAAGTTCTATTTGTGTGAACTAAATGATATAAATTTAATTTGGGTACAGTGTTGCATGACTGAGCAATTACCAGTTAAATGAGAGCGCTGTGCTGAATAGGAAAAATTGCCTGTTATGAAGGGGGTAAAACCTTCTGGAAGCTGAAGAGGATATAGTTGGAAGAGGCTGACCCTGGGCTGAATATTCATACAGCCTAGCCAATCCCTGACCAAGGTTATGACCAGCAGGGAGTTGAGGTGTGTATAAATAGTCTGGGGCCTGCAGGTCCTTGTCCTGGTTGGAGAAGACTCAGTCTGAAGAGCCCTGTTACCTTAAGGGCAGATTAGCTGAAGACTGCAGGAGTTTCCCCCAAGGTCCCACCCAGGGATAGCTGGGGACGTACTTCTAAAGCTGCTGAGAACAGCTGAGAGAAAGTCTGTTGAGGATCTGGCCTGGAGGCTCATGGTACAGGATCTGGCTGGTACTGGAATGGAGGCATCCATGTACACAGGACACGTGGAGTAGAGTCCTGAGAAAGAGAGATCCTAAAGGGACTGTTCCTGATAAAGAACAAAGAGTAAACGTGAAATTCTGTGTAAAACCGGGCAAATCTTCCACACCAGGGGCGGACTGACCATTTGGAAACTCAGGCACTGCCCGAGGGCCCTGGGTCAGTAAGAGGGCCCCATGAGATGCCCTGGTTAACCTTTTTTCATAGGCTTTTTGGAGTTTGGGCAAGAACACAGGGCCCCCATTATCCTCTATTGCCTGGGGGCCCCATGAGTTGTCCCCCACAACTCCACCCCTGGTGCCAACATGGCTCTGTCCTTTGGGACGACATGCTTGTAACTGTCAATCTTACAATGCTTCATGGAACTTGTAGTTTGGCAACAGCTGGAGGGCCGCCAGTTTACAACCCCGTGTTCTCTAGAGTGTTCCAGAACATATAGGGGGAGGGAGAACAGGGCTAGCAGCCTGAATATTTATGAACTTCCACACCAGTCCCAGGCGAGGTAGTGCCCAGAAAGTGGGGAAGCAACCCATAAATATTTTACAAACCTGGAAGCAGAGTCCAGGGGTCCAGTCATCTGGAAGGGATCCCTGTGCTGGGGGCTCTGCCCCTGGGGCAGAGAGGAGAAGAGGAGAGAGATAGGAGGAAGAGGAGAGCTCCAGGAGTCAACCCCAATTCTAGGTCCTAGCTGAACCTAGCTGCAGACCAACAGCTAAGCCAGAAGCCAGCCTGTCATGAAGAAGCCAATAACAGCAGCCATTCTGGAGTCTGAAGCTTTCAGTCGGGGAATAAGTAAGTAGCAAACCAGCCATCACCTCTAAGGGAAAGAGAGGACAGTGGGGTGCCCGAGTTTCCAAATGGTCAGTCCACCCCTGGTTGGCACTTGTAGTTT